TGAATCCCAACCAGCTCCCTCCAAGTGGAAGACTTAAACAAGGCCTTCAACGGACCAATTTCAATAACAAACCAGACTAGAATCTTGAATAAAAGCACTACAACCCATAGAAGAAGCATCCGAAAACAAAACTTTGAATGATACCAAAGGAAGCGGCCAGAACAGCTTACCATTTAAGGATTTTAAATTGTCTTCTGAGAACCTCCGAATTCCATAAACGCCTCGAATTGATGACAATGTGCAAAAATCTAGTCATAATTTGGGTGACGTTCCCACAGTTCTGTGCTAGTGAAACAATTTGACCGACAATTGATGCAATCTTCTTAACATGAATGAAAGGGGAAGTGTTTAAATTGGCACAGACGGTGTTCAGATCAGAACACATTTTGTTGATCCTAGGATCAACTGCAAGTATGAAGCCTCTCAGAGTGTCAGTATGAAAACCTATCCATGAAAAGGCGCTGGAGGGCTGCCAGACAGATTTCTCGTCATTTATGCCAGAACCAAAGTGAACGAGATCAGAACGAACCAAAGGACTACTAGTTTTTGCTGCCTCCAGAGAAGAACCAGCACCAACACTGTCATAAAAAAATACAGCTATAGCAATGCCTTGTGCTCTCCAGGGACTTCAACAATTTCGTGAAAATATAAGGGGCCGAAGAAATCCCACAGGGATTATGTATGACAGGAGCCAAACTCATGTAAAGGCCAAAAATCTGCGATGCTCGGGGAAAATAACCACCTGGTGATATCCTGACTTCAAATCAAAAGAGAAAACGAAATAACCCTGTGAAAAGCGTCCCTGGTCGTCTGAAGGCCTCAGCACTTAAACTTCTGTGTAAAAATGTGCAAATTGTATGCCTTAAATTCAAAATTAGGCCCTTTCGGGGGCAAAAGGGGCAGTGAAAAAGGGGATGGAAGGAAGGGAGAACCGCTGGGAGAGACCACAGGAAGGATAAGTACAGATGAGACCAGATGAGGAGGCTATACTTCAAACTGCGAGAAAAGATGCCGCAGGTGTGTGAGAAAGGAGGACAAATTGATAATGGATTCTCCTTATATACGTTACAATGAGACCACTGACAATAGTGAACTATTTTCAACTAATTTATGTAGTGCGAACAGGACCTTTTTAGAAAGAAAAATTTATCAGATCTTATTATCAGAAAATATTTTCTGTCCCAAACGTCCGGGAAACAGCGATTTGTTTGTCACAAGATTTTATTTCGTTTTTGACCAGTCGCCTTAATAATTTGTTCCCAAACATTGCCCGCTTTAAATTAAGCCAAAAAGAAGATGAATACAATTTCTGTTCCCATCAATCACTCTTACGTGCGTCTCCCGAGAAAGGTCTTGTACTTCACCATTCCAATTTCCCTGAAGATCTGTGGGTGCCTGGGACATCTTCCATGTACTCTGAATTAGACAGATCCACAAGTTCTGACATTTTGAGTCACCCTTTTAGTGTCGATCCAACATTCAGTCGGGGTAAGTTTGAAGTAACCCCTGTGGTGTTCAAAAATCTTCTACTCAAAGCTGAATCACTTTAGTTATGTGGGCAACCGAGCTCGATACAAATCTAAGCGAACAGGAGGAGATCTGATTTTCCTAGGTCCAACAATGATCCATCACAGTAAGTCTGAGGCAACCTATCAGATGTTGGCCACCACGTGCGTCAGAAAATGCAGTAGTCTGACTAATGCAAAAGGCTTTATTACCGACGGAGAAACAGCCCTCCAAAATGCATTTCAATTTCATTTACAGTTGAAGCATTCGCAGAGTCTCCGATGCTTCAAACACTTCGAGAACAATTGCAAGAATAAATTGAGGGACATAGGCATAAGAGAAAAGGATCAGAAGTACGTTTTGTCGAAGACGCTTGGAGTTCGTGGGAAAGAGGAAGGGATCATTGACGCAGTAGACGGCAAGGACCTGCGGAAACGTTTGAGATCCGCCCAAAATGAAGTAGATGAACAAGAACGACTGACCCTTGGTAAAGACGAGCAGTACGCCTCCAAGTATTGGTCTTACCTGAATGACAATAGAAAGATGATAAGGAGACTTATGGTAGCCGATGCAAGGAGAAAGGCCGGTCTAATGGAAGGGAAAAACGGAAAATTGCAAAGGTGTTACACCAACTGTTCGGAATCGATGAACAACATAATGAAGGCAGCAAAGAACACCTTTACAAAGGAAAGCAGTACTACTCATTTAACTAAACTCCAATTTACTCGGCACGTGTTTGAAGCAATACGTGATCATCAAGTTGAAGAATTTCATTCTTCAGTGGCTGGAGTAAGCGACGAGTATGTCCCGGCTGACCTGGTGTATGACATTTGCAGACTGCATAAGGTAGCAAGACTGTAAATTGAATGAAATTGAAAGCAAAAATATCGTCATAAAGGTGGCGTCATCATCAACATTACCTTGTTCCAAGAAGTACATGTAAGGCCTAGAGGCGAAGTTTATATTTTTCATGCAAATTACACCGCCCTCATTCCTGAAGGAATTGTTGGCTGTTCTTCTCGTATTGAATTAGTGCAAAATAAGGTCTGCCGATGTCACAAACTCACTCATGAATCCATAGCAGCAGGCTAGCAATTTAGCGTGCACCACAGACGAAACTAAACTCTGGTTATATAAGTCTGTCTGTGAAACAGCGCCGGAATCCTTATTCTACGGGGGCCCCACCTGTGTACTAGGATTTGAGTATAAGCAATGATTGGCCTGTTAAAAAAGCCATTGTCGATTTGCCTATATTTAGAAATTCAAAATAAACTTCTGGTAATTCGTCGAGTCCAGGTAGGATCTGTTCGGTTTAGATTATTTGGAATATCCTTAAATACTGCTAAGATAAAATAGGGTACGTCATTTAAAAGTGATTTATCCGTGCTCTATCCTAGTTGTTTTTGTTGACGTAACTGTAGTAAGCATGAAGTGCTCGCAATCTAAATTTTTTTACAGAAAACTACTCTTTAGACAGGCATTAGTGGGCATTGGTACTTGTCATTATCAGTTCACAATAAACAAAGAAGAATAAAGAATCAACGCAATTAGTGATAGGCGATTGGTCGAAAGCAAAAGCGTCAAAGAAGGAGACAAATCGCTTTTACCAGACTGCAAAGAAATGCATAATTAAGAGATTCCCCTATTTCAATTGGGATTATGTTGAAATTCCATCCCATGTCGCTGATTCTTTGAGTGAATCGCACAGGAAGTATCTCAGGAGCGAGTTTCAAGATGCTTTCGTAAAATTTAAACAGTCAGAACATTTTTTGTGAGTGGCCATAATGTAACCCCTTTCTCGTTTGAAATTTTAACCTCCAAACGTTTCACGAGAAATTGTATTTTCCTGTAGGTATGAAAAAATATATCCCTCCGATCTGGAGCAGTAAGAACGAAACTCTGGTTTCTCCCCGTTTCAAATGCGGCGTTTATTTGAGGGTGCCATTTATTTCGAAATCGCTTTTTAAAAATCAAGGACAACAGTTAGTATACTGAATCGTTTGTAAATATTATGTAATTTAAAAGTTCACCAATGTCTCCCTCATTTTGCTGAGATAGAATCGTAAATGTCTGGATGGTGTCAATTACCAAGCTGTACCGAACTTTTTCTTATTATCCTCAAGTAAACGCCTCATTCCTTTGAATAGGTGCGGCGTTTATTCGAATTCATACGGTATTTGTTTGTTTGTTAAATGGAAAACCTGGATTTAACGAATTTTCGGAAATCAACCAAAATGGTCGTTTTGCATAGGTATAGTATAGAGGGGGTCTTCGTTTTCTACTTACCGGAGGGATTGTGTAGAAAACGAAGACCCTGGTCCAGATGTTGTATAATTGGAAATCGTCAGGAGCCGTGTTGTTTCTTACACTCCTTTAATGTCTAGAAGTCGTTAAAAGCAGTTTCCAGCCGTTTCCAAGCGATTTTGAGGGGGATCTTCGTTTTCTACACATTCCCCCCGGTGTGTAGAAAACGAAGACCCTGGTCCAAATGTTGTATAATTGGAAATCGTCAGGAGCCGTGTTGTTTCTTACACTCCTTTAGTGTCTAGAAGTCGATAAAAGCAGTTTCCAGCCGTTTCCAAGTGATTTTGAGGGGGGTCTTCGTTTTCTACACACCGGGGGGATTGTGTAGAAAACGAAGACCCTGGTCAAAATTTTGTATAATTGAAGATCTAAGGTCGAGATACCCGTTTCTAGATATTTATAAGTGATTTTGAGGGGGGTCTTCGTTTTTGGGTCTTAGGTCTTCGTTTTCTACCCACCCTCCCGAATATTGATTAGTTATTGATTTAATTTTTATTGTATTACGTTAAACCGCAAGATGACTTTGGGCGCTTTCCATTCAACCCAAAATTCCGGTAATTTTGGTTGGTACATCAAATGGAGCGGACCATTTCGGTTTGGTCCGACCAGAATATTAGGGACCAGCTTTGAAGGTGGTCCTCTTTGACCGGTCGGACCGGTCGAACCGAAATTTCCCTTTCCATTTGACAAATTTGTTCCCAGTACCTCTCTTCTGTACCCTGCTTTCAAAGACAAAATGGAGGAATACAGAGATTCAATGTACGAGTACTCCATCTGTGAAAACAGATGCACAGATTTAGAAGTACTATTGATGCATAGTTGCTCATCGTAATATCAGGTGGGTTACTTTATAATGATTTGATCACTGTTTCAGTACCTTTTAAATTTCATTATTCAGCGTGAGCTATTGCTTCCTAAATAATTTTGCGCGCTTTTCTCCATCAACTTTGTTTTCAGATGTTGGAACCGATTCGTTACCGAACTCAATTGAAGAAAGCTTAGTAATGACAGTAATATCACCAGCTCCTTCCTCTGACACAAGTAATAGGCGCAGAAGCCTTGAGAAGTGTGAGGACAAGCATGTCCGCCTACTCGTTGAGAGTTACTTGAAATATAAAGATCTATTTGGTAAGCCTCAGCAGAGCAAGAAGAAAGTGTTCGAAAAAATAGCTGAAGAATTCAATCGCACCTCCGATGTTGATGTTACTGGAGATCAGTGCTGTCGGAAATTTAAGAAACTAGAGTCGAAGCAAAAGGAAATTGAAGACAACAACAGTAAGACCGGAAGGAAGGAAAAAACCTGGAAATTCTTCAAAGAGATGGAAGACTGCATGGGAGACAACCCAACTGTAAAGCCCGTCTTTACATTTGACACTTCTTGAGGTAGTTCCTCCTCATCCTCTACACGGTCTTCAACTCCTGATGAAGGATTGAATTCAGATAGTAGTGATTCCGAGGAGAGAGAAGGATGCAGTTCCTCAAAATTGAAAAGGCCAAAAAGAAAAAGAAAGTCCAAGTCATCAGCATCTGAAATGCTTGATTTTTTGACGGACTATACAGCAAAAAGGAGTTGAAGAGGAAAACGTAAACATTCTAAAAGCAATGCAAGAGGAAAAAAAAGAGTTCTTTAGTCAGTTTCTTTCTTTCCCAAAGATTCCAAAAAGGAGTGAGTATCTCTTGAGGAAGGGCATTGGTCAGAATATTTTGGGGGTTATGTACCTTTCAATATTAATCCCTAGGGTGTGCCACCCCAAAGAAATTAAGAGAGAGATGGATAGACGTCCAGTGGTTTGGCATTATCTTTTGCAAAATTCGTCCATTGTTATGGGTTATCCCTTAGGCAAAGTAGCTTGACTTTGAATTTTCTTAATTCAAAACATTCTTGGGCTATTCCACCATATGTGTCCAACACTACTCCTCCACCCTGGGGCTTAACACTGACAGGGACATCAGTTGAAATTGTACGTAGGTTGGTTAACTGGTTGACTGAAAATGCTCATCCTTTAGTCATTATTTATAAGTCATGATCTTGGCTATGTTTTGGTTGTGTTTCCATCTTCCATGTTTTTTAGGCCTCTACCTTTTAAAAAAATTTTTTTGGTACAACAAAATGATGACAAACGATTCATGAAACAATATCTCACTTGAAATTTCTTTTCTTATTTTTTTTTGTTATTGATAAAGTTAACAATACCTTAATAATACACTTAGTTATTTAAAAATAGGGAACAGATACCATTATTAATTTTAACTTTGATGAGTTCTAAAAATGTTATTAACACCACTTGTTAAACTATATTAAAATAAATTATATTGTTGGGTTGAAGTTTAGATGTGAAAGTATTTATATAAATAAGGCTATGAAAGGGAGTGAACATGTTTGTTTACAATGACATATCTTGTAAAAATTCTTCCACCAGTTAAGTCTCAAAGTCGGTATCACATTGATTGATGAGAAAAGGAGTGCAGTTAAGTAAAATGGGAAAGGAGGAACTGGGGTTACAGTGTGTAAATAAGTTAACTGGAGGCAGCCAATATTCTGGGTGAGCAGTTTTTCAATGACAAAGAATGGTGTTTTCCACAAAACAAGTGCTTTTTGTCAGGAATCAGTGTATGAGGAATGCAGAAATTCATTAGTGACAATAACAAAGACCGGATGCTGATGGGTTATTGAACTAAAGAGTTTGACTGTTTTATTTGGTTTGAGTCTTAGGCAATTGGTTGCTGCTTGCATTACATGTTTTGGTTTTGGGTATGCATTCATACAATACTGCCTCTCCAAATTGATACATACTATTTAGTAATACAGTACAATTATATTTGGATAAACCACTATGTGATTTTGTAATGGGCTCTTGGGAGACCATTAATCCATCCCTTTACCATAATAGCACGTGATACACAGTATTATTTCACTGTAAATTATGCACAAACACTGTTCATCAGGTGGGTTCGTTTTTGTTCAGCTGTCCCTCCAGGGCAGTGGTCACCGTCATCATAATGATCGTCAGAGTCATCATCCATAAGGTAGCCATCATAGAAATCATCATGGAGTATGCAAAAGTTGTGAAGTACACAAGTAGCAATAATGAAATGAACAGCCAGTCTTAGATCCAAGAAATCCAGAAAAAGTAGTCTTCTCTATCTACCCTTCAAAAGACCTATTGCACATTCAACTTTCTGTCTCAGTGATGAAAGGACTGTATTAAACCTTCTCTGTTGGGCAGTCAAATGACCATTGTCTGTATAAGGAGTTATAAGCTACCTGGGAAAAAAAAGAAAAGAAAAGAAGTTCTAGTTGGTGGGTGGGGTACTTAGAAGTTGGGTTGGGGGATTTTTTTGGTGGCCAACTTTATGGGATGAGGTTCCATTTAGAAGATGCATTATTTTGCCAAATGACTAGCAAAAAGTAAAACTACTTCAAATTATGTAAACCAATAACTTGCAACGTTTGAGTTAATACCTGCTGTTAAATTCACAATAGTAGCAACACTTTGTTTATTTAGATACCTTAATAATGGGTAGCCTCCATCTCCAAGAAGATGGGTATCCCCAGGAAACATATTTGCAGAGGTATTCCAAAGCTCAGAAATTCGAAGGACCCTGGAGTCATGAACTGAGCCAGGCCCTCCAGCCACAACATCTGTGAAAACCAGGTTATCATCACAGACAACCTGAGAAGTCAAGTGAATACGATCTGAGAGGAATTAAAACTTGTTTTTTTTTTTTTTACAAAACAATAATAAAATTATTATAAAACCGCATACCTGACGTTTTGAAGTTACCCTTTGTAAACCACTTAGAACACATTGCAAAATGCAAGGGGGTGGGGGGACTCCCTATAATGGCCTATACGGGGAGGCTCCGCCCAAAAGGGTTACCTTTTTCAGGCTTCAGTAGGGATTTCACTCATAGAAGTATACGAAAGGGTACGGAAATCTGTCATTTGGGTCTGTGAAAGGGCCCAAAGGGCTAACAGATGAATTTATTTTCAGGCTTTATAAAGTCAAGAAAACATTCTATTTTTGTGATCGATTCCTATTTTAATCTGACAGTGCATTTACAGTGGTTAAAAGGGATGCAAAGTTCTAAACAAGGTATGTGAAAGGGGTACATTTTGTCAATAGAAGCTATATGAAAGGGATACCTTTTTCTTGAAAATTGGTATATAAAAGGGTAAGGGGTTGGACCTCGGGGTGGGGCCTCCCTGCATAAAAATTTGTTGAGTACCCCCCCGGTACCTATCATCACAGTTGTCTTTACATAGCATGTCCCTTGACACCATTGATAATATTGTTATTGTTATCAGTACTATTATCATTTATAATTATTAGCGGAGCTTCGCGCGCGAAGCCCGCCAGCAAAGCACCATGGGTAAATAAATCTACCCATCCCAGAAAATTTGGTAATCACGTGACCGACCGACCGTCCGCACCACAGGCATACCAATGTTTACTCTCACACTTTCTAGCTACTTTGGGATGTTGTCATCAATTGACAGCTATCAAAACAGGGTATCCGCTGACCAGTATCACCTGACCGTATCGCGGACTCAGGTGTCGACCCATCAAGGTCAAGTATTTTTTTGAAGTTATGCGTTTTCAAATGATCGCAGGCTCACGTTTACTTTTTTTAAAATTCATATCAAATATGTTGTGTTTATGTCAGTATCGCCCCGCACTATTACGATTTTGATTTCAATTGACCTCAGACGCAAAAATTTAGCCAGTTTTTTTAAAATACAGGCGGGGAAGACCTTTTCTTACCATGGTCACGTGTTGGTCACGCTCCACATCCAATTTTTATGCTCCGATTGGTTAAAATTTGACAGGTGAGTTCATGCATAAAATTTATGCAGCATCTTGAAAGTTGTTTACTTTGACAGCTGAAGCTGACAGAGTTTTGAGTCAACTTGTGATGTTTTTAACTGTCTTTTTCCATTGGACGTACAAAAAGAAATACAGCTGCTATCAAGAGTGTGCTGTTATTCATGGCTGGTTTGTTTATTGGGTTTTTGGTTGAGAAATGCGTCGCTTGTCAAAGCCGATAATCCGACTTCGGATGGCATCGTTTTTGTTTTTCACCTTGCTGGATGTGTACGAGAATCATAAAGGCTCAGGCGATCCTTGCCTTACTTGATAGCTTTCAGGAGCTGCATCTTGAAATATGGTACGCCTGAGTAATTATTGTATTTAAATATAATTTCATGAAGTCCAGCGGCGCAGTTTATGAAGCTAGTTTATGCACGTTTTTATTAAGATTTGACTGAGACACTGATCTGACCTAGTATGAGGTTTGATATATATAAGCTTAAGCTAACAGAACTTTAAAAAGCCTTTAGTCGATATTAATTCACCGTAAATAGAGAGAAAAAACTTTCTGAAGAATATTTAGTTATAATTTTGGCTGTAGAAAGAAAGCTTTGAGCGATTTTCTTGTCGTGAGTTCATCTTTGAAAATAGCAAACACCAGGAAATCGGCGGCTTAAAACATAAACTTAATCTTTAAGCTTACTAGTAAAGACTTGATGATTCTTAGAGACTTAAATACTCATTTGTTTTCGTGAATGAAAATTGTTGTCTCTGTTATGATATCTAGAACTTTCTGGAATTTATCTACATTTGCTTTTTAAATAAGAACATTCTAGAATGTCAGTTTGCTAATCTCTATTATTATCCCAAACGTTATGTAAGTCTCTATAAATAGACTGATTATGTATTTGTTTGGAACATTCTAGAAATCCCCTCTTTAAGGTATATAAGCAACCCCTAGACTAGTTTATCTGTCTGTCAGTATGTCACTATCTCTATGAGTGTAACCTACTTCTGAAGAGATTAAAGTTTGTGTTCTACGAGACCTGGTCGACTCAACGTTCCTCATTGACTGACAAAACTTGGTGTCAGAAGGTTAGCACAATCCACGAGCTTCGTCTTTGTTGTTTGAAGTTTCTTGGTCATGCCCTTGACCTCTACTAGTGAGCAAACGTCTGGTTCAACGGCTGCTGTACCGATGTATACTCCTACAGTACCGCTAGCCAAACCTCCAGATCCTCTCAACCTAGAAGACAGATCGCATAGAGGTGATAACTGGTTACACTTCAAGAGAGCATGGCAAATCTATGAACAAGAGACTGGGATAAGTAAACAGGAAGGTCCAGTCCGTGTTGCTCATTTTCTCAACGTCATTGGAAGAGAAGGAGTTCAGTTGTTTGACACTTTTACCTTTGATGAAGATAGTCACGAAAGTGCTGACAAAATAGATGACGTCATCGCTAAATTTGAATCTCGCTGTCTGCCGCAACGTAATGAAACGTACGAACGATACCTCTTCAACAAAAGAGAGCAAGAACCAGGAGAAAGTATCGACCAGTATTGCACAGCACTGATGCGTCTCTCTGAACACTGTGGCTTTCTGAACCTAAGAGACAGCTTGATAAGAGACCGCCTCATCCTTGGAGTTAAGAATGATCGTGCACGCAAGAAACTATTGGAGCAGAAAGATCTTGCTTTGGATAAAGCCTTGGACATTCTGCGAACACAAGAGTTAACTGATATACGCGCATCAGGCATGACAGCTGAAGAAGCTAATGTAAATAGAGTAAAGCTCAAGAAAACGAAAACTTCCAAGAATCAGACTGAAGATACGACCTCGCATAAACAGACCTCAGGTAGAAAGCGGACTCCTCCATGTAAGTCAAAAGGGAAAGGTTCTGGCAACCCCAACAACGTATGCACTCGAGAATGCAAGTTTTGTGGTGCTGTTCACGAGATGAAAAAATCAGCCTATCCTGCTGTTGGCAAAAAATGCACTAGATGTGGCAAAGAAGGACACTTTGCAAAAAAGTGTGACTCCCGCTCCGTCAATCATGTACAAGATTGTGAAATTTACAGTCATAAGCCCTCCTCCACATCAGCTTATGTGACAGTGCGTCTTAACAACAATGCCGAGGTACAACTCCAGATCGATACAGGTGCTTCATGTAACATTCTGCCTAAAAGTGACTACATCAGGGCTACAGGAGACAAACAGTGTAAGAATCTGGAACAGTCGTATACAAGGCTCATCATGCACAACAAGACTGTAGTCTGGCCACTTGGTCAAATCCGCCTACTTACCGAACGGAAAGGAAAAAAATATGGAGTTCTTTTTCACATTGTGAAGCAAGATTTGACACCACTCCTCTGTAGAACGTGTGAAAAGATGAACTTAGTCAAAATTCTGGATGCTGACATAAACGCGACTCATAATGAAAGAATTGATGTCTCGCCAAATGTTAGAAGTGATCCTATCTTATCTGAATTCACTGATATCTTCACCAGAGTTGGATGCCTTGAAGGAAACTACTCCATCCAAGTGGACGACGGTTTCCGTCCAGTGGTACATCCGCCTCGTAAAGTACCAGTCCCTCTAAGAGATACTCTCAAGTCAGAGTTGGATAACATGGTGAAGAATGGTATCCTCGCCAAAGTAACAGAGCCGACATCATGGGTCTCTAGTCTTGTTATAGTCAAGAAACCTAACGGGAAAATATGAGTATGTTTAGATCCTCGAGATCTCAACCGTGCAATCAAACGCTCGCATTATCCACTTCCAACTATTGAGGAAGTCGCAACTTGCCTTAGTGGTGCCAAAGTCTTTAGCGTGTTAGATGCTAAATGTGGATTCTGGCAGGTCAAACAAGACGAAAAGAGCAGTTATTTGACAACTATGAAAACACCTTGTGGCCGCTATCGCTGGCTCAGAATGCCATTTGCTATAAACTCAGCCCCGGAAGTATGGCAACAGCGAATGCATGAGCTAGTGGAAGGACTCACAGGCGTAGAAGTCATCGCCGATGATTTCCTAGTTTGTGGTTTTGGAGACACTAATGAAGCTGCAATAGCTAACCATGATCAGAATCTCAAAGCTTTCCTCAGGCGCGCAAGAGAAAGAAACCTCACTCTCAACAGCGAGAAGTTGAAACTACGACAGTCACAAGTTCCTTTCATAGGACACCTCTTCACAGCTGAAGGTCTAAAACCCGACCCGTCAAAGGTGCAGGCCATAGTTGACTATCTAGTGCCTACCAACCTCGCAGAACTGAGAACGTTTTTAGGAATGGTGCAGTATCTCGCAAAATTCTGCCAACATCTGTCTACAGCATCCCAGGATTTAAGACAGTTGGAGAAGAAGGAAGTTGAATGGCATTGGCAACGCCCTCAAAGCAAAGCCTTCAACGAGATAAAAGATCTCGTCACTAAAGCCCCAGTTCTACGGTACTTTGACGTCAGTTAGAATATAACTATACAGTGCAATGCCTCACAGTACGGTATTGGTGCAATTCTGCTTCAGGAAGGACAGCCAGTCCACTACGCAAACAGAGCACTGACCACCACAGAGCAAAACTACGCCCAAATAGAGAAGGAGCTCCTTGCTGTTGTGTTCTCTTGTGAGCATTTCGAACATTACATTTATGGCAAACACGTCACAGTCGAAACAGACCACAAGCCACTGATTGCTATACAGAAGAAGCCAATCAACACAGCCTCTAAAAGACTAGAGCGTATGATGCTTCGTTTGCAAAGATTTGACCTGAATCTTACTTACAAGCCTGGCAAAGAGATGTACATTGCTGACGCACTTTCTCGCGCTCTGCCTAGGCAGTCAAAGATATCAAGCACCTCACACTTCTGTAACGATCTAGAAACTGTCAACTTTGTTGAAGACTTGCCGATATCTGACTCAACACTTGCGAAGTTTCAAGTAGAGACGGCCAAAGATGAATCTCTGCAAGTGTTGTCACAAGTTATACGCGCTGGTTGGCCTACGAAAACTTCCATGGTACCTACTAGCGCACAGCCCTTTTTCAAGTATCGAGACCTGATGACACTCCAAAATGGCCTAATATTTAAAGGAACAAAGATAGTCGTCCCAGAGAGTCTTCATCGATGTATGTTGGAGGAAACGCACAAATCTCATCAAGGACTGCAAGCATGCCTTCGAAGAGCTAGAGAAGTTTTCTTCTGGCCAAGAATGTCTGCACAACTCAAGGATCTTATTGATAAGTGTTCTATGTGCCAAAGTGTTAAACCTGAACAAGCTAGTGAATCTCTTCAGCCTCACCCAGTTCCTGACAGGCCATGGCAACGAGTTGCAACTGATTTGTTTACCTTTGAGAACCGCAACTACTTCGTATTAGTTGATTACTACAGCAACTTCATTGAGCTGGACTATCTTGCTGACACTTCGTCCCAGACAGTCATTCACAAACTGAAGATGCATTTTGCAAGGCATGGGGTACCAGA